ACGGGCGTTCATATGTTTATTAGCTGGACCCGGCATAAATAACGCAGCTATAAGGTATAAGAACGAGAAGAAAGGGTGGTAGGAGCCGGCAGAGTGCGAGGAGGGCCCCCGGACTGGGCCCGTTCGAGGGGGCTGGTGCGACAGCACTCAGAGACAGGGGAATGCGGGGAAGGAAGATGGGAAGGAAGGGGGAGGGAAGGGGGTTGAGAAGGCTGGCAGAGAGAGCGCGCGAGAACAGGGCGGACGAGCTTCGGTCTCCGAAGATCGCCCGAGTAAATTGTCACACGCTCTCTCTGTTCTGAGGAAACCGAGAATTGGGGTGGCGGTGTGTCCGGCAGGAGATGAGGGGGAGAGGGTGGAGAAGAGGGTCTGAAAACGACAATCGGTCCGTAAGAAAGAGGTGACGGAGAAGGATCGCGGGTGGAAAGAGATCCTATCCTAAGGACTGTATATAGAGAGACCGGGGAGACGACTATGTGAACGAGAGAAGAGAAAGACAGAAGGAGAGGCGAAGTATATTCCTTTCTTATTCCTTTTTTCAGCCGCGAAGTCAAGACGGAGAGATGGCCGAGCGGCGCGGCGCGGCGGGCGGACGGACGAACGGACGGACGGGGGCGGCAGCGCGGGGTAGCGTCCGAAGAGTAAAGTGGATGGAGGGAAAGATGGACCGAGAGCCTGGACCTACCTAATTTACCTCCCAGATAATGCGGCATAATTAAAGCAAAATGTAACGTCGCTGGCAATTAAAACAAATTTATGCGGCCGAGATTTGCGATCGGCCGACCCGAGTTCTCTTTCTGCCAACCTTGAACGCGTTCTTACCTTCTCCCTTCCACATTGCACGACGAATGCATTATTATTGTTATTACGGACTGCTGAATGTCGTCGGATCGATACATTTTATCGGAGATCGCCGAAAAAATCTTAAAGCGAACTTGACTTCTGCAACTGGAATTTAGTATAAGAAAATCCGATATTTTACTTCAAAAGTATAAAACGCGAAAACAACCACAATACACGCGCAATGCTATCCTGAAATTTAAAAAAAAAAAAATACACATAAAAAGTTTTGGAAAGTTAAAATTCAATTGCTTAAAAAAAAGAGCAAATAAAATTTTGCAACAGCTTTTATGTCTGTTGAATCGTTCATAACGAAGTCCAATTGAGTTTCTTGTATCCTCGAAAAATATTGTATCGCACGATCTGGGTTTTTTATTATCAACCGCTCTCATCTCACTAGTCTACGTAATTTAAATGAATACGACTTTTCCACACCGAGAGAAACGTGCAAGCTATCCCTTTTTTGTTTCTCCTCTCGATCGGTTCACGATACCAATGGCCGATCGAGAGAGAGAGAGAGAGAGAGAGAGAGAGAGAGAGAGAGAGAGAGAGAGAAAGGGAGCCGCGCTTATAATATATAAATCTTGATCCTTTTTTAATATCATTTCAAACAGACCCTAACAATATCAGTTACCCCCACTGTCGTCTTATTAGCCAGAACGGTGGAGAAGAAAAAAGGCAGATTATATAAACGCGAAATTCATGCGCGACATGCCTTGAGCGGTAAACGCGCGCGGACGTTGAAAAAAGAGGAAGGACGAAAGAAGGGCCGAGAGACGCGCCTCGACTGGATATATCTGTAGATAAATTGACGTCAAATCGGATTTTATTGCGAGGGAGAAGGACGCGGGAGGGAGGAAAGAGAGACACGGGGAGAACTGGGAATATCCTGGACACGGAGGCGAAGAAAGGTGATAGAAAACAGGTCCGGTCTCGCCTAAAGCGAGGCACAACTATTTCGTGTTTTTCTTCGGAGATCCGACGCGCCGCTATCGCTACGCCATCTGCCTGACAAACCCGCGCCATCCTCATGAATACGTCATATCTATTCTTTTGCCACCGGAGCACCAAACACATAAACCCCGGGACCATTCGACTCCCGTCGTTCTTCTATCTTCCGTTTATTTTCTACCGATGCGAATTCTCTTCGATCGAATATTTCGAGAAGATGGTTTGAGACTCGACGCGCCTGAGTCCACGTATAAACCTTCCGCGACATTTAAATTGTCGGAGTTAGTTTTGGATTTGGTTTGGAAAACTTTTGATTTTCTTTCGTACATGTACACGCTTTATTGACTGCGATTCGAAATGTGTGTATGCGTATATGTATGATTGCTACTGCTCTTTATCTTCTTAATGTAAAAGAACTGATCATATAATACTAATATCTATAAATATTTAAGTGACGATACTATATTAACGCGATGTGATGTTACTACGTACGCGAAGAGGAAAGCGCGTACATCAATCGCGCGGATTAAAATGGTTCGGCAATTTTATTGCCACGAGAAATCGGCAAAATCGCTTAATTTTCATTGGAATTAAGAGAACGGAAATCTTACGCTTTCTGTGGTGATGTGATCCACCAGCGGGCAGCATGCCCGTAGACTGAACAAATCTAAATGAACATGCCGAATGATAAAGGAACGATCCGCGAACACACGCAGGTTTTTATACCGGTTGCGTCTTCGCAACCTAATTGAACGCAGCGCAATCTAAACGGCGTCAATTTGCTGACTCCCCTTGCACTCTGAATGGCTTCAACATCCCCACGTACAGACAGAGAAAGAAAGAGAGAGAAAGAGAAGGAAAGACAGAAAAAGACAGAGATAAAGAGAGAAAGAGAGAGAGAGAGAGAGAAAGATTACCACCTGCTGCGGCAGATTTTCTGCGGTCTTTTAATGCCACGATCATCGGGATTTGGCTCGGATGTACTAAACGCAAATCTATCGTGCTGCAGGTGTCGGAAAGCATACTTAAGACAGATATATACAATTGTTCGTGGAATTTAAAAGCGCACGTGATAACACACACAACAAGATACTTCTCTATTACACAAGAACCAATCTCTCATCGTTTATTCGAATTTTTATTAGAGCTAAAATTATTTCGTACGCGCTAACTCACTTGAATAAAATTTGAGAGTAATCAGGCAATTTTGTTATTAAAAAGAGATATCGAAAACTTGAAAAAAAAATATCATAAACAACTCTCCTTAATTCAGCAGAAGCGTTTCCGACACAGTTAAATATGCAATTCAACGAATGATTTATAAACTACTCGGAAGTTTATATAGCTGTGACGAATAGGAAGTGTTAGGTATTCTATCCTCCAGTTAATTAAAAATTCATTATTAAAATCTATTATGTCCACGGAGTGTCAAGCAGCGAATGCTGAACAGACAGGGTATAGATGTTTATGAGAACGCACAAGTATTGGTGATCCCCGTGTTTTGTGAAAGATGCACAGGACGGGTATATCCACTAATCCTAGGAGAAAAAATGCACCGCAGGTGTCAGTCCCGGCGCCGGCGCTTGTCCACGACGAGCCGACTACTTTTCTTTACGTATCCACGCGCACATTATAGCCCTCAAGATCTTCACGCGAAAATTATGAGCCGGTAAAAACAATAAATCTGTTCGGACCGAAAAAAAAAAAAAAAAAAACACACTTTTGTTTTAATGATTCCCAAGAGAGACACTTGTCGTGGTTGCACGACAATAGAACGTGACAAACAAAAAAAAAAAAAAACACACTTGAGTTACGAAAATAAAAAAAAAACAAAAATTTCACACTTACTACTCGAAATGTTAACTGTATGGCAACACACCCCATATACAGTCCTTGATCCTTTCGCCTTATCCCAATCTAGCACCCTACGACCTCACCACTTTTGTACCTCGCCGCTTTACCGCAGCTTTTATACTATAGTCTTTCCGTCCGAAATGCTCCACGACGACCCACCTGTTTTCTTACGTTTATGTACATATGACAAGATATGACACAGCATGCTAATCCAAACAATTGTGCGTAGCAATTTTTGTACAATATTTTGAGTAAATCATATAATACTACAGTTTCTGTATGTATTAATAATAAAACTGGATAATTTTAATTGTATCTATTATAAATTAATTAGTCTAGGATCGTCTAAATAAGTGTTGACTCTATGGATTTGCATTTCTATTCAATAATAATGACAATTATCATAATAATAAAAATAAAAATAAAAACAAAATAATAATAATAATAATAATAATAATAATAATAATAATAATAATAATAATAATAATAATATACAAGCAGAATATTTCTTTCGTTCAAAAACCAAGTAATATTCTAAGTATTTAATTAAGCATCTTTTTTCGTTCAACACACTTAATTAGTAATAACAGTAATTAAATATAAATGTTCGTTTGTGAGACTATAAAAAAAAATAAAAAAAAAAAAAACAAAAAAAACTGACAGGACAATGCAGACGCCGTTGCACAAATGTCAACGCACTCGTTACGGCGACAATCTCTCCCTGAGTTTTGTTCGTCGTCTCACGTATACAATCACCAGAACAGTCGGATCGAGCGCAGCGTGGAACGAGAAAATAATTGGGCAGCATAAAACACGATATCGTCGGCACATCGGCGCGGCGGAGCAGCGCGCGAGGCGCGGGGTGGCGTGGTACGGCGCGATGGTGGTGGCGAGAATGCGCCGGAGCGCTGTTGGAAGCGCGTTAGAATATTCACGTTGAAACGCGGCATATAAAATCATAGAGACACGAGTGGCTCGCTATAATAATGCATAAGGAGGCGGGCACTCCTCCGGGACAAGCCACGCCTCGCGCTCTCGCGCCACCCGGTGGGGATATCGAGCATCCGCCGGAAGGGGAATAAGATAGAGAGAAAGACGGATCGTGCAGGTAGGAGGACGAGAAACGGAACGATATGCGAGGGGAAGCAATACGGAGGAGCGAGGTCGCGAAAAGATTCCTCTCGCGCCCCCTTACGAGGGGCTCATTCGATCACGCTTCGAGAAGCACGGGCCGTGCGTGAGCAGCCTTATGACTGGCGTCCGTTTCGTTTGTCATAGGGTAGGGTAAGCGAGAGGGCGTAAGGATAAAAATCCAGTTAAAAAAAAAAACAAAACGCGTGAAAAACCTGTCTTACCTTTTTTTTATTCATAGCGGTTAAGCTGTCCAAAGTGAGCCCTTACGTCTCGGACAGCTCGTGCGAGGTTGGCGGCCAAGAGATACCGGGGTCCATCTTTTTCTCTCCCTCCCTTTCTCTTTCTTTCGAAAGAATGCACGCGGACGAATAATCGCGCAAAATTACATGCGTGCAACGTGCCTGGTGTGTAATACGCGTGGAAGTCGACTTGGCTTGTGTACAAGGGTGAATCTCTGTATCCGTCGCGCGGTGGCGACGCATGGAGAAGGGGGCGCATCGCAAAGGAGGTTGCGCGCCCGCCGCCTCGCTCATGTAGTGGGGCAAGAGCGCGAGGGGGAAGGTGGGCGCAGGACGACGGAGAGGGGCGGCGGCGGTTGCGAAGCGCGGCCGAAGTGGGGGGACTAAAGCGCGCGCAAGGCAGTATCTCATGTACCCCTACCCGCAACGCGTCTCGCGACGGCGGAGAGGGGTGCCTGGACGTCAGGCCCAGAGCTGGTCCGTCCGTCGTCCGGCCGACTCCGAAGCACCTAGAGCAGCGGATTTCGCGCGAGATATAGACCCATAAACACGCACGCGTACACATACGCACCCGCGCACGACACGTAACGCGTATACAGACACATACACACAAACACACACACAACATACATACATACAAACGTCACGCGCGCGCGCATACACATACGTGGCCGTCACACTGAGAAACACGCCAGCCGGTCACTGCACACGTGTGTCGTACATGAGCAAACAGTGCGTTTAGGACACGTACCGCGCGCGCGTACACGTTGCCACCGTTCCCGTAGATGTGTTGATCCGTAGACTTTACGCGTCACGCGTCACGACCGTACGCACGTATCCACCTACTCTGTCCCTGCGTCGCGACATCGAATAGCCGCGGAATGTCGCCGGTTTCTCGCTGCTGTACGTTCGCGGCACGCGTCGAATGAATTGCGTCAGGTAGTAATCAAAGAATCGCGGTTAATCGCGATTGTGTATGTGTGGTGAATCGCGCTTACGATCCATACGCCGGAGGAGGTCATCCAACGGAACGAGCGGCGTCAGTAACGAAAACAACTTGTTTGGGAATCCACGGACGTCTTTCGGAGCAGGGAGAGAAAGGAGGAGAGAGTGTGTTGTGCGTGAATGCATGGACCACGTGCGAACCGTTTAGGACAAGCGGAGCCACGAATCAGTGAGAAAACAGTTAACTATCGAGTGCGCGGAACGACGGATCTCTTTTTGTGACATCGCGCGGTAAGAAATCGCGCGAGTGTGAAAAACTATGTTAGTGAAATTCGTACGCGAACTTTATTGGCCTCTATGGATTATTGGCTAAGTAGTTGATGCGCTCACCGGCCGGTGGCGAGAATAACTCTCTTTTGGCGACGATCCATGCATAGGACGCTTCGGGAAGTGCATTCGCGATTTGCTAAGTAGTGCCGATAGTAGTGAGTTCAAGCAGCGATCGTGTGTTGTGATTTCGATTGTTGCTGCACCGGAACACTGTGTGAGAAAGAGAGAGAAAGAGAGAGAGAGAGAGAAAAAAGAGAGAGAGAGAGAAAGAGAGAGAGAGAGACATGAGGTGCGCATCTTTGACGTTACAGCGACGTCGTCTACCGCCGTTGTCCCGTCGACGACGTCTAGACTGACCGGACATCCCGCAGGAGAGGAAAACAATATCCGCACTGACAGCAAACGCCAGTCGATTCCACTGTCAAACGGCGGCGGACAACTGCTTCTTCGTCGGAGTAACGAAGAGAGCGAACTGATTCATCTGAGTCGGAGGGATGTCACGGAGAAAGCAAGCTCGACCAAGCCGTGCCCATCTTGAGGACGATCTTGTCCAGAGGCCTCTCCTGACCAATCCGACTGGAACTATCGCAAGCGAGATCCGTAAGTGATTCTTTGGATTTAGCATGGATAAGAAAAAAAAAAAAAGAGCCTCTCTCTCCTCGACCGAAGGATTTCCGTGTGAGTGTTTCCGTCGAATTGAAATAATTTTCTCATTGAAGATTAGATATATCGTAAGCGCGCAGTGTGTAAAGTCTGCTCTAAAACGCACAATGCACAATTTAATTAACGAACAAGTTCGAAACGATTTTTGTATCTTGTCAGAATCCATTATGTTTGAAATTTACGCGAAGTTTTACGACGTTTTGTAAAAAAAAAACGTTTCATTGTGTGAAACATGTCATTATTTTTATCTCAAGCTATATATTATTTTAAAACTTCAAAAATATCACGAATTCTTGACGTTTACTTCTGAAAGAGACTAGGACGCATTACAGTACGATGATATGATCTGTTTTTCTTAGTGATTTTATCAAGCGCAAACCACTATATAAAAGACAAATAAAAAAGAATAATAATAATAATAATAAACACAATGAGAGATGTGTAACGATGAATTTTTATTTTTTTTTTTTGTTTCCGCTGTAGTCGAGGTCACATGTGCGTCGAATCGTGTTTAAAGTACAAGCATCTTTTTCACAGTGTTTGTTTTTTTCATAAATTCGTTAAATACACGACACCCGGAGCGCAAATTAAATTGAGAGAAACGAAGTTACACAATTGCTCAGTTCGCGTATCACATCGCATTTTACTTCGCGTTAGTTCGGAGTAAACGATAAACGGCGATAAGAAAATTGTAATCCGGAGGTGCAGTAACGGTTTTACGATATTGACGCGATGCGAGATGGCTGAAACTAGTTCGATATACGGTGAGAAAACCGGAGCGACAATTGCCGCGACTGATGTCAGCGCGACCGTTTTAAAGAGCGCGATTACCGGCGAGCAGCGTCGTCGTCGTAAGCGCATGGGTACGTGCTACACAACGCGTATGCGTACCAGAGTAAAATTGCGCAAATTACCAGTGTCGAGACGCGATATGAAACGTCTAGTGTGATTAAATGACAATACGTCTTCGCAATGCGGTCGCTCCGCCAAATGCGCTGGAAACCTCGATTCCCGAGAGCACTTTCCGTCGGACTGAACGCGCGCGCGTTCGGTTTCTCACGCATCCGCCTCGATAAAACGTACCTGTCTCGACGTAACATCAAAGCGGCCTTAAAAAAAACGGCCAACAAAGTTTTCGTCTCAGTGTTGACCGTAAGATTTTCGCCGCATTTCGATTATGCGCGCGCGCGCGCGCACGCACACACATACACACACGTACAAAAACAAAAATTGCATCTTTATACGTAAAATTCATTCACTGTCAGATGTTCTTTCGTGTGCATCAGGCGACTCGTAGTCGTGCGCAACTTGGTTTTTCTAAATATTCATTCATTTGTTTCTCAAGTACTCATTCATATGCGTTACAACTGCTGATAAAAATAAAACTGCTGATAAAATTATATCTTTTATTGATTAATTTAATATTTTTTGTTTTAAACTTAATTTGCATAGCCGTCGAACACTTAAAAATGTGATATAATTGAACTACTGTGAACCGCTCACGACGCGCGAACTTTTCAAACTAGCGCACGTGAATTTTGGGACTGTATAAGTGCTTGTGTGTTCGCAGTTGTTGCAATTTTATTTGTGAGAAAAAAAACGTTAAACTGATCGAGCATGTAATGATTGTAATAACGCTGCTTCGCGTTTCTGTCGCATTCACGACGATTCTTCGCATCGAAGTCCAATTTTTTGGACTGTTCTAAATAATATCGAATATAAAGTTTGTATAGCGCGCAATATAAATTGCATTTTTTTTATATATATAAATTTATATTTATTTATATATATCGAATTAGAAGACAATTTAATTCATGTATCGTGTGTATTTTCGTGAAAAAGATTTTACACGTGAATTATGTGAAGTGCACGAAATGCGAGAAGAGAATTTCACAGACGCGCGATAATGTCTATCTAAAAACATAAACTTCACCGAGAACATTTACATTTCTTCTATTAAACATAACCAGAACTTGTCGTCCGATCGCGAGGGATAAGAACTCGTCGCTATAAACTACTCGGTTTTACTGAATCCACGTACTTGACGTTCGCGTATCCATTTGGTACGTGTACCATTCGCGAAGATTCACGTTTTAACAGAAAACATTTAATGCTAGACACACGGCTTGTCGATAAAAAAAAAAAAAAAAAAAAAAAAAAAACGGATTTTTTTGTATAGAAGAGAGTTCATGGAAAATATTTTTCAGAACGCGCGGGAGAACAGTTTTTCTTTTTTTCGTACGTAGGGCGGGAAAAATTATAACGGCGAACGCCGCGACTAATGCAACTTCAACATAGACGTCGTACGCGAATGCTCTTAATTTGTCGAACTTTTTCAATTGCAAGTTTCTGCAGTTTCCTCCGCGCCGTTGTGTGTTTCTCAACTTCGAATAGTTGAAACATCTCGAAAACAACATAAAAGCGCGTTTCATTCCTAGCGCGTGTACGTGACAGGCCCCGCGGTTTCTTGCTGAGTCAGAAGCAAAATCGAAAATGTCTGCGGATGCCGCGACAACAATAGATCGGACCGCAGTCCGTCTATATAATTCGATAATTAGAAGTTTTCATCCGATACCCTTCATTTGACGTAGCGTGACTTGTTCGAATAGCTCAGTCATAATTTTTCTCATATCGCGCGCGTTTGTGCTTACGTCTACCCTAGCTAGAAATATAACACAGATTTCCTCACAATAAAAGAGATGTAGCGTGTGTAATTTTTTATTACAAATTTTATCTTACTGTAAACAACGTGGCAGGACGTTCTTTTGATAACGAGAATTTTGTTATCTTTTTTTTTCTTTAGCATTCAAAATTGACGTGTCATATGTTGTAATTTTTATAGTGACAAATTGAGCTGTTGACATGACATAACATGACATAACATTAGGAATAAAAACATCGATAATGTCGGTGCGCGTTAAGTGAACCGCGGACAACTGAGCTGTGCGATAATAATGATGCTAAAAAAAATTATGTATCACCTTATCAAATGCAATGGCTGCTAAAAGTTTCCTTCATTGCATAATATACGTACAAAGATAAAATCTTGATTACGAATATAGATTAAATCTAGTAGAGCATACTTTGTAATTTTATTAAACAGTAGCTGTCACAGATATTTTGTGAAAAATTCTGATATATATTTGTAAAGCAACCTTAAAGTAAAACGTATATATTTTTTTGTTTTATAATAAAATAAGTCGTATTATAGTTAGATTTTGGCATTGATATATATCAAATAGAACGTTTATTTCGTTTTTTTCTTTCGTGTATTCACAAGTGTTTCTTTTGCAATTTATATTTTTATCTCATCGTGTACAAACATAAGTAACGATGCGTTTTGTTTGCATTTAATATCTGTCATATTTTATGGCATACAAATAAGTATATTATTTATAAATGTGTACATGTTAAAATGAGTTTATCGTGGTTGCAGAGAGGATTTGTGATCAAAGTTCAGAAATTATTATTGTTTCTTACAACAGGTCTATCCGCTCAAAAAAAGACAACCATGAGCTATATGAGCTGATAAATCATAAAGTATGAAACGCAGTATTCACAAATCAATTTGCATTTCTTTCCCTGTTATCTTAATGTTATACATACTACGAAAATGTGAGCGAGAGTCACCGGATCAAAGGATACCATTGTATATAACGAGGATAAAGCGATTAATGTGTATCGAAACAAAAAGTTAATACTAAATTATAAAAACAAAAAATTACAACAACAAGATAATATTTTACATAATGAAACAATTTTATAATATTTATTTATATTTGTGTTTTATGTTTAGATGTAAAAATATGCGCATACAAATACAAAAAACAGATAAACATAAAATAATTCAAAAAATTAATTTATATAATTTTTGCAAAATAAAGAAAACTTTTTTCAGTTTTTTTATTTTAATACTAAAAATATTGAAATACTTATGCTATACTTATCTGTGTACATACACACAAAACTTTTCTTGTGTGAAATACAACAATTATATTTGAATATAATTTTTAATTAAAATACTAATTAAAAAAGATTTTCTATAACTTGTGCGAAATTGAATTTGTAAAGAAATTGAATTATTGGAAATAAGATATTATCTCGAAAAAGAGACGATATTTGGTCATATAAATTACGATCCCTCGAGAATTGGACGAACCTTTAAAGGATATTGAAGCAGTCGAAAAGAGAGATATAACTTCACATTATCGACCGCAGATGTTCAAAAACCGATGAATGAATCATCGATGATGAATATTACGTTTATTACGTGCGTGTCATTTTCTTGCACGGAAAATGCTCCAATGCGGCAATATGTCTTTTTGTGAAATCGTGAAGAGCGGAGAGTTTTGAAAGGCGTTTCTCTTGAAGTTGTCAGTGAACAGTGGAATATGCTGACGTGAAGGAGATCGTTGACAGACGAATAGAGAAGTCTCGTCGTGTGTGTCCGTTGTGAGGACGACGGACGGGAAGTTGTCTGCCGCTTCGGACGGCAGCTAATGTGTGACAAGTAGCTAAGAACCGTCTAACCGTCTGACTTGCACCGACTGCATATTAATAGATCCTAATATGCGCAGTCGCGCGCGCGTTGCTCTTAAGCCCGGCGTCATTATGTCAGCCGTTTGTCCGTCGAAAACTATAAAAGCCCGTCCGTGCGCGCGTTCGGAACGATTCTATTCCGACAACAATTTGATGCGCGCGAAATATTTCTTGTCCAGAACATCAATGAGGTACTAAGTACAAACGGTTTCTGCAATTCTCTGTCGTAATGGAGGAGACAACGTGCGGATTTATTAGTTCCCGAGAGGTAGACGCTACTTGTAATCTATCACAAAGCTAAAATGAAAATATATCCCCGCTGAAGTCCCCGCGTCTTCTTCCGTCTCGTACGCATAAATGTCCGAAGATATCTTTCGTATAGATTTGACAAATTGTGC